CTTCTGGGAGTAGAAGCCCGCCATCGGCGCGAGCGTGACATCGACTCGCCATCACTCGAACGTCCATTCCCCGCGCATTTCTCGGTCTCGTGGGCGATTGTTTTGTTCAACTGGGTGTTCCAGGATACTCCTCGAGTGTCCTCGCCGAGAAAAAATGCACACGTCCGACCGATGCCAAGTCGACCGAGCGGTTGGCGGAGGGACGACCCAGTGCCCCAGGCGACGAGCTCGGAGGCAGACTCTCGCCGGTCGGCCCCTTCTCCTGGCGGAAAAAACCTCCGAGACCCCGGGCGGAGTTTCTTTTTTGTCAACCCGTGGACATCTACGCCACGAAAAAAATACATAGGCACCCTCCGACGAACTTTGCGTGTACCGTCAGGGAGGGCGGCGTATATAAAGTCGCTGGCTCTCAGTGGTGATTTATACACCGCCACCCTCCCCTAACGCCCTGGAAAATCCATTGGAGGGTGTCTGTGAATTTCGTTGTGACGGAGAAGCATCCGAGCTCTTCACGTGAACGTTTTCTTTTTCATCGTTTCGACATTGAGCGTGGCTCTGGACCTCTGCTTAGTGCGACTGTTTGCAATCCTGCGTCCCATGGGGGTAACTTCCCCCGCTCGAGACAGGCGCCAAAAACAGCCAAGATCTACTCCATGGGGAGGGGAGGGGGTGCAAGGGCCCGCGCCGATCGGCAAAACAATGACTAAAAACGATCACCTTCCCTTGGGCAAGTGTTTCATCTCAGATCGTTTTCTGATGGCCCCAGGGCCAGAACATCCCTAAATGCAGGAACACGAAAGGGCTCGCCGGGGGTCGGGGTAATCCTTCCAGCCTCCTGCTTCCCGCCCTCCTCCAAAGCAGCACCAAGCGATCCTGCGAGTCGAAACTGCTGGCGTCCGCAAGGTTGGAGTACGCGGGCGCCCCACTCTGGGGCACGATCCAGCGCAGCTTACGTGCTGAGCATTGGGAGCAGCGCAGAGCAAGACAACCCGGATGGATCAGTATTGGGCCCGAGGGCCAGAACACCTCGCCTGACTCATGTTCAGAGGGAATGGATGTTGATTGGCGTTTGCCTGAAATCGCACTGCAAAAACAACTGCGCATACGATTCCAGCAAACGACGCGCAAATGTTCGAACAGATCGGCCAACATGCATTCGACGCTTTGGGATATGTCAGACTGTTTGCGAACTGTCGATTCGGGTTGAGGTATTTTCAAGGGCCATCCCACCTCGTCGCGGACCTGGGCCGGAAATCGCCACGCCTCTGGAAGCTCTTTTCGGCCTCACGGACGGCCAAAGACCGCCCCAAACGGCTGCCAGATGTCCGATGGCCAGCCCTAGACTGCCGAGCGACCCCTCAAAGGCTCCAAGATATCACCCCAAGAGGTCCCAAGAAGCCCCAAAGAGATGCACAAAGAGGCCTCCGACGAGAAAGTACGGAGCCAAACATCAATAAGCATGCAATTCCCAACAGTGTACGCGGCACACTATATGGGGTGCAGTTATTTTGGTAGTATTGCAATCGACAGTTCTAATTTTCGGGCAAACGACCCACCCATTTACCCGCAACTTGTCGGTGCAACTCAATTGGCGTAGTGACGCGAGGACCCTTCCAGTGCAGATCCATGACCTGTGAAGCCGAATGATGATGATTGTGTTGCTAATGACCAGGGCGAGGGCAACGACGACGACGATGCTGATGATGTCGATGCTGATGACTATGAGGATGCTTATGGTGATAAGCTGATGATAGGATGATGGTGATGATGATGACGCTGATAGTGATGATAAGGTTGATGATGATGATCATGATGATGATGGTGATGATGACGACGTTGGTAATGATGATGATGGTAACGATGGTACCCATGATTACGATGGTGTTGATGGTGATGGTGATGAGTGTGGTGATGATGATGCGAATGCTGACGGTGGCGATGATGATGGCAATGGTGCTGACGAAGATGATGAGGAAGTGCGCGCAGAAATTATGAATCCCCGTCACATGTTGTACTGACAAAAGCATGTGTCCAAGCATGGCTGAGTGAGTATGCTCTGACATGCTTTGCTTACAAGGTTGGAAGGATTTCGACGTGCGCTCGCCGAGACGCTCGCACGCGGCTCGCAATTTTCATTAGTTGGCACAGTTGGCAGGTGAGCGATAATCGCTGAATGTGTTCGACATTCGCGCGCGCGCGTGTGGCAAGCACGCTCCCACTTGATACAGTTGCCAAAACCGTATGGTTTCCCAGGGTTCATAGAGTGCGCGCGCCCCGAATTATGGCACGTGTCCACTGAGAGAACCCATCGCATTCATCGCTGATTTTCTTGTCATGTCATGCTTCGAGGGTTAACGTGTGTGCACCACGTCATATGAAATGTGGCAGGGACGAGAGGGGGTGTGGATGCCACAGTGGAAGACATGCTGCTGCGTGATACTTCGGATGAATGGCCGTGCATACAAAATATTTGGAAACTTGTCCTGGCGAAGGACCCGACCATATACAGTTGTGAATACCGCAGAGCAGGCGGGACGATCGATGGGGAACTCCCTATGGAGCCGCGATCCGCGTGCGACGGGCGAACCGCATGAGGGTTGTGCCAACATGGGGCGGGTACCGCATGCGGGCCGCGGGGGAGACTCATGCGATGACGGCCGCTGTGACTCTCGGTGGAGCCCCCTATGGGGCCGCGAAGCGTGTAAGGGGGCGTGCCGAAATGAGCGGGGGAGGCGCGCGAGAGGACGGCCGCAGGGACCTTCGGTGGAGCTCCCCATGGGGCCGCGAAGCGTGTGAGCGGTGTGCCGAAATCGATGGGTCGGACGCGTGCGGGCGGCGCCCCTGGGACCTTCGGTGGAGCCCCCTATGGGGCCACGATCCTCGTGAGGGGTGTGCCGAAATGGGTGGGTCGGGCGCATGCGGGCGGCGCTCCTGGGACCTTCCGTGGAGCCCCCTAAGGGGCTGCGACCCCTGTGAGGGGTGTGCCGAACTGGGTGGGCCAGACGCTTGCAAGCGGCGCCCCTCGGACCTTCGGTGGAGCTCCCCATGGGGCCACGATCCTCGCGAGGGGTATGCCGAAATCGATGGGTCGGACGCATGAGGGCGGCGCCCCTGGGACCTTCGGTGGAGCCCCCTAAGAGCCACGATCCTCGTGAGGGGTGTACCGAACCGGGTGGTTCGGCCGCATGCGGGCGACGCTCCTGGGACCTTCGGTGGAGGCCACGATCCTCGTGAGGGGTGTGCCGAAATGGGTGGGCCGGGCGCATGCGATGACGGCCGCTGTGATCTTCGGTTGAGCTCCCTATGGGGCCACGATCCTCGTGAGGGGTGTGCAGACATAGGTGCGTCGGGCGCATGCGGGCGGCGCTCCTAGGACCTTCGGTGGAGCTCCCTCGTGGGCCACATTCTCGTGAGAGGTGTGCAAACATGGTGCGGGTACCCCATGCGGGCCCTGGGAGAGACGCATGCGATGACGGCCGCTGTGACCTTCGGCGGAGCCGCCTATGGGGCCACTAAACATGTGAGGGGTGTGCCATGATGATGACGAGTGATGATGACGATGATAATGTTGATGACGTGCGGAGGGCACAAGCAAGGGCGGCGGCGGACGCTCGCTGATGACGCTGGGTCATGCTATCTGGTTCTGGGCAGCCGTTTGGGCCCCTGAGGGCTGATACCCTGAGGGCTGATAAACCGCGGAGCAAACAGCAACCCCCAATCTTACGAAGTGGGCCACAAGATGGCCTCGAAGTGCCACGGAGCAACCGCGTTTGCGTCGTCTTTCTCGGGCCACGGCTCGGATTTGTTGAATTCGTTCCGCAGGCAAGGGTGTGAGGCGAGAGGAGGGAAAGCGGAGGAGGAGGAGTGAAGAGAAGAGGAGAGGAGAGAAGAGGAGAGGAGACGTGGGGACTGTCTCTCTTCAAAACGAGGACCCAACACAACAGGATGGTTGGGACAAATATCCGCGGGTAGAGCGCGACGTCCAAGTTTGATAGGGTTGTGAAGTCTAGCGAACCTCTTTCAGAAAAAGGAACTCACCTTGCTGGCATCCGCCCGTGACCACCTCCGATGCTCGCGCAAGCATTCCATCCACCCACATGCATCTTGTCTGCCAAAGCTCAATTGGCGCAGTCGCGCGAGGGCCCTTCTCATGCAGATCCATGACTCGGGCGGCCGCGTGCTGATGATGATAACGATGACGATGGTGGCGCTGACGACGAGCACGACGACAATGATGATAACGATTACGATCATAATGTTGCAGGCGACGGTGGGGATGACGCCGATGGTGATTGTGAGAATGATGATGGTGATGACGATGGCGATGATGACGATGGCGACGGTGACAGCGATGGTGCTGATGAGGACGATGAGGAAGCGCTTGCGCGCAGACATTCAGACCTTCTGAAAATATTGTTTGGACAACAATTTAGAGGATCAACTATGTTTAAACACCTCGGCATTGAGATGCTTAGAATTCTGGCCGCGGGTCATTTTTGAAGGCCCTGGGAGGAGGCCGAAACCGGGAGGCAACAACGCCCGATGTGTTCTTTCTCGCGACGCCCGTGCCAGGGCCTCAACATCGACTCCCCGGCCTGTCCTTGGGTGGGTTCTGGCCTGAAGTTCGAAGTGGATCCAGCCGTGGCCAAGGGAGCGCCAACAGGAGAAACTAAGAGCGCTCAGAAACGTCAATCCTCGATCCTCCTCGAGCGTGGGGAAAGCTCCCGAGAGAGGCCGGAGTCCTGGGAGAGGGGGAGAGGGAGGCCGGATGCCTGGAGAGGCCCCTTGGGGCGGGGGGGGGCCCTCCAAGGGGCCTCCCCAGGAGAGGATCTCTTGAGAGAGGTCCCTTGGGGAGAGGGGGAGACCCCTTGAGGGGGTAGCCACCCAGGGGAGCTCCCCAGGGAAGCCCCCAAAGGGGCCCCCTCCCCGGAGAGATCTTCGGGAGAGGGGGGCGGAGGCCTGAGAGGCCCCCTTGGGGCGGCGGGGTGGGCGCCAGCCTCCGCGGATAGGGGTTCAGCGGGTCCATGAACAGGGGCTGGTGCGAGAGCAGGGGCCGCCAGATCCGACGCTGCCCGCCCAGGGGGCAGAAGGAAGCGGAGGGAGGATGACAAAGAAGGGGCCCAGGGACGCACCATCACACACACACAGATCCCAGGTCCCCATCTTCTCCCACGCTTTCTGGGTTTTCGTCTTGCCCTCCACTTCCGATTCTTTCCGGTCTTTTCCGGGGAATCGACGATCAATTGTGTCTGTGTTTTTTCCCGTCCTGAGAAGTGGAGGGAGGAAGGCAAGGATGCCTGAAGAGGGCAAGGAGGAAGCGCGGGACGAGGAGGGGGAGGATGCACAGAAGGACGAGCAGAAGGAAGAGGAGGAGGAGGAGGAGGAGGAGGAGGAGGACAAGGAAGAGAAAGGGGAAGAGGAAAAGGCACATGAGAGGGAGCAGGGGGGAACGGGGAGGAGGGCAGGGAGGGGAAGGAGCCCAGAAGGGCTATGCCTATAAACAGCGAGGCCGAACATTGCTGTATATGACCCTGCTCGGAATCAGTTTCCTGCCGAACAATCTATGGGTAGGCGACGTGCGCCATAACTGAGCCATCACTCTCGGAGAGAGTTGCCTGGCAGCAGCGCTGGCAACACTGTTGGCGTCGCGGAGTGATGCGAAAGTGATAGCCACACGGCACGCTCGAGGAGCGCACCCGGCATCGCGGTGTGAGCCGATCGTAACCCGGCGCGCTCGGAGTGAGCTTCCTCGTGACAACGCTGGCAGCACGGTGTGCGCAGGGGGCGAGCCACCACGCTCGGAGAGAGCCGACAGCGCTGGCAGCGCGGTGAGGGGCAGACGCGAGCAAGCACGCCAGGAGTGACCCCCCTTGGCCGCAGCACAGAAAGCACCGCTGGCAAAGTGGTGCATGCCAGACGCGAGCTGGCAAACTCTGAGTGAACCTCCAACCGACAACGCTGGCACGGCGGGCGCGAGCCAATCATAATTGCCCCAAAAGACACATCGCCGGCAACAACGCAATGTGACGCGGGCGCGAGGCGGCATGCTTGGAGTGAGCTTGCCGGCAGCAACATTGCCAGAAACACAAGTGTCACGAGCTGGCACTCTGGGAGTGAGCTTCGTGTCAGCAACGCTGGCAATGCAATGCGAGCTGGGAAGAGCAAGCGTGCTCGAAACGAATACTTCGTCGAAACGTTCACCCCCACCCGCTGCCAGACGCGGGCAACACGATTTGTGCCGGACGCAAGCCAGCACACTCAGACTGATCTTGGCGGCAACAGCGCTGGCATTGCAATGTGCACCCGAATCAAACCAGCACGCTCGAAATGTCGGCCGACTCCACCTGCTGCCTGGCGCCTCATTTCCAGCAGCCCTTGCAACGGGAAGTTCCCCAAAGTGAGCGGGTCTGCTCGGGAGCAGCTCCAGGCAAGAGCGCTGGCAGCTCGAAGCGCACCGCCAGATGTGAGCTGGCACACTCCCGAGGCGCACGGGAGGAGCACGGGAGAGACACGCGGGAACACAGGCGGCCCAGAGCAGCTGTCGCGAGGCACGCGGGGCACACAGGCGGCCCAGAGCAGCTGTCGTGAGGAAGCTGTCGAGTAGATCGTATGACGTGTGTTGTCCCAATCGTCCTCAAGGGCCGCATCCCCAAACTAGTTTCGAGCACCCGGAACGTTGGCGGAACGCTGGCGACGTGTCGAACGAGTATCGACTCCCAACGCCCGACACGTGAAGACTTCCCCAGGGGTGTCGCCCTTCTGGGCCCGCCAGTTTCTGTACTTTCTTGGTGTTCGAAACTCTGTCTGGTGGTCACGGTTGAAGTTGGTTAAATCATCGTGCAGTGAAAACCTTTTAGACAAGCTAGCTTGATTAGGAATTAGGAGAAAGGTGTGTGAAAAAAACACGGGGAGGGAGAAAGGATGAGGATCGCGAGTACCTAGCCTAGCTGCAGAGGATCAGGAAGACATGGCTACAGAGGAAAAGTACTTGTATATACATATACGCATGTATGTATATAACATATGGGGGCAGGAGGATACATCTGCGGAGGCGGGGTGTATATATATGTATATATATATATATATGTATATAAATACATATACATACGACCACATGGGGGCAATGTGCTGAGCTCGGCAGAGGCAGCGACATTCGGCCATAAACAAATATGGTTACATACAGGGTCATATGCTGGTGTACCCATGGCTAGCGAAGGACCAAAGCTCGCGAAGGCGGAGGAGGAGGAGAACAAGGATGGCGCAGGAGAATTTATCACAGCAGATGAGCCTCCAGGAAACACCAGGGACATCTCATACAATGTGTCTCCACGCGCTATCTTACAATCGAAAATGCTGCCAGGGGATAGCAGGGGAAGTGAGGGGAGATGGGACGGGGGCGAGGAGGAAGGAAGAAAAGGATGAAGCGGAGGAGGGGGGAAGGGAAGCCAGAAAAGGATGCGAAGAGGAAGCACGGAGGTGGAGGAAGGGGATGGGGCGGTGGCCGGGGAAGGACGAACCATCATCATAATTATATAAACAAAATCACAACGATTAGCACAGATAGACGACGGAGAGACATGATAAAGAAATAACTAACAACACACAAATCCGCAAACCGAGAGGCGCTCCAGCTTCCAGCGAGAGGCAACTGATACAATGCCGAGAACGGCGCGGGCGGCAAGCAGCAGCTGGGCGGCGCGCGGAACTCCGGCGCCCCCCTGTTTCTTCAGGGGGAGCGCACGCGCAGCAGCACGCCGCGAGATCGGAACGGAGACCGGCGAAGTCGCAGCTGGACTCCGCAGCATCGGGGCTGAACATCGTGAGCTCGCCTTTGGCTTGCACTCGAGGGCTTCCTCGAGGATGCAAGCTGAGGTGGAAGCCTTGATTGAGGCCGTCACTGCTCAGCGACACCTGCGTAACCGAACCTCCCGCCGAAACACCACGCGCCGCCACGCTGGTCCTGGGCAGCCCTCGTGCTAGAATAAGGAACGCCGACGAAGGCACGAAGGGGCCTTTCCAGCCACGGCGAGCCCAGGCCACTGACAGGTGCCCCAGCCCAGATCTAAGGACCGACCGGCAAAAACAGAGCTACGACGACGACGACGACGACGACTACTACTACTACTACTACTACTACTACTGCTACGACTACGACTTCTACTACTACTACTACTACTACTACTACTACTACTACTACTACTACTACTGCTACTACGACTACTACTACTACTACGGTCTTTGAGCCTACTGTGTGCAGGTGGCGACATGCAAACCCGACCCCCGCCAACCACTGATTCTCCTGAACCGATGGGAGGCGGGTTTGGGGTTCGGACTGTCCGCCGCGTGCTCGACGAATTCCGAACCCTACCCCCGCCGCCCGTCGAGTTGCCTGAGTCGTTGATGGGCGAGGGCAGGGCTCGGATTCCGCCGCCGATCGGAGGCAACGTCGAACTCGGCGCCCACGCTGCCACGTGGGCCCCCGCTGCTCCTCACCTCGGTGTAGACTGATCTCTGTCGCCCTCCAGGACTCTCGCCACCCTGTCCCCGAGCGAGCTCTTCATCGCCAGGGCCAAGTACTCACGCTGCTTGCACAAGCGAAGCTCCTCCGCCCTGCCCGTCTCATCCTTCGCGAACGCCGGACACCCAGGATCTGCCTCGGCCAGTGTGTCCGCATCTTGATGATGACCGCAATCGTGGCGGTGTCCTGGGAGCGGGACCTGGCACGACGGTCGCGAGGCTGCCCGCGCTCGTCACGTCCACGGTATCGCCCGTCGCGGGACGAGCCGCCGCTGCCACGATCACTCCGACGCCCTGAGCCCCCCTGGCGACTTCGACTGCCACCCCAACGGTCGCGGTCATCACGGCGGTCGTTGTCGCAATCACGATCACGATCACGCTCATCACGGCGCCCGTGGGAATCATACCACCCGTCGTAGGACCTCCACCGCCCATCGCGCTCACCAGCACGATAGGTACATGACGGTCGGCGCCCTTCTCCATACATGGCGGCGTTCGTCTCGCATGAATCACGCCAGCGTCGTAAGATTCCCCGAGCCCTCTGAATGGCGATGGATCAGGGACATGCGCGTGCTGCCGCGCAAATGGTCGACGACGGGTGTTCCACCGAGTAAAGCTCCGGGGGGCCAGTTCCAGGACCCAATGGACCACGACCCTGGGGGACAGCTCCAGGAACTGGACCCGGACCAGACGTCAAGAGAAAAGCGACACCAACATGTTGAAACCTCGAAAGGTTTGACCAGGTCAGGGCAGGACGTTCGTCTTGTGCCAGGGGCCCTCAGAGTCCTTGAGGAGCCACACTCTGCCATCATTCTTTGGAATGCCCAAGTAGAGGACCCATGATGCCATAATTCCATACCTGACCAAAGACATGGGCAGCATTGGTCATCATGTACACATGCAGGAGACAGTTTAACACGGTATGCTTTGGTAGGGCTCATAGACACGCACTGCTTACATTAAACCTTGATGGTGCCTAAAATGTCATCCAAGTACCTACGTTGCGCTGTTTCTACGGAGCTGGACGGTGAGGATACATGATATGCTAACACATGCACGATGTTGTGTACGACAATCCCAGATCTACTCACGAACGCGGGTTCCTACTTCACCCCGGTTAGGCCAGAATCTGGTTTCAGACTGCGCGCGGGGAAGCTGAGCGTGAACTCGCGAACCCCAGGATGCTTGGACGGGTACGGCATCAAGTAACAAATTACTTCCACCTGAATGGCGAGCGGGTGCACCAATGCCAGCTCAGAGGGCCTGTCCAGTCCTCCCTGTCCCGATGGAAGTAGACCACGTCCTCCGAATCGCTCGTGTCCGATGTCGCCCCCGAGTCAGAAGCCATCGTGCGATGCGGTGGCTCTCTGCGCGACGTCGGTGGCGCCAGCTCTCCTCCAGCGTCCACAAGTACGGGGCCAACAATCATGTAGGTCAGCGTGTCCTGCTACACCAAAACCTGGACACATGTATGAGCACGAAGTGCTCGGAATTCTTCAAGTAGCTGGAACAAAACGTCATCGACAACATGTCAAAGAACAAGGGTTGCATCGATGAAAAAGGGCAGGAAGGAGAACTCGAACACACCTGCTGGACTCCTGAAACATGTAAAACGTACGCCTGCCTGCGCGCGATCCTCTCGTTCCCCGTTGCCCACGCGGGGCCGTGTTGAACCAAGATCTGACAGAGCCCCTGTTTGCGTGCCATCACTGCTGATGATATCGTTGGCAAGTGCGAGCCTCTGATGAGAGAGGCGGTGTCACGCACGGAGCTGCGACGACCACACCCTGGGCTCAACCCGCGCCGAACTTCACGAGAAGAAAACAGCGGCAACAAAGCCCAGCAAGCAAACGAACGAGAGGAGCAGGGTAAGGCAGGCAATGATGATGGTGACCCTCAGGGTGCGAAGGAAAGAGAGATGGAGAGAGAGAAAGAGAGACAAAGAGAGAGAGAGAGAGAGGCAGAACGAGAAAGAGAGAGAGAAAGAGGGAGAACGACAGAGAGCAGGGGGTAAGAAAGAGAGAGAGAGAGATAACGAGAAAGAGAGAAAGAGAGAGAGAGAGAGATAACGAGAAAGAGAGAAAGCGCGACGCTAAGCCAAAACACACAAAACAACACATACAAAGCAACGCAACAAAACCAATGAAACGCAAACAACAAAAAGAAAGACAAAATGATATAATGAACGAGAGGAGGAGGAACGAATGAGCTAGTTGGCCCGCTCCTCCTCCTCCCCTCCTCCTCCTACTCCCATTTTTGTTCCGTCGCCTCCCCAGCGCCCTCACCCGGCAAATCCTAAACTCCGCCACCTGCCGCTGGGGCTCGGGAGAAAATGCCTTCGGCTCTCGAATGTCCTGGGACTCGTAGAGGGCCAAACCAGTCTCTGCCCACAACACCTTGACGGACTCGAAGTTCATGAAAACCTGACGATGTCAATGCAAAACTGGGATACAGCAAAGCCGTTGGTCGAGGAACCGTTGGCTGAGAACTCTGGAGGATCGAGAGGCATGTTGGTTTGAATTCCGATGGATTATCACCGAAGACGAGCACGTGCCATCCTCCGCCCCTTGCATTTCCCATCCTGCTCCCTCTCCCGCTCCTGCTGTTCGCCGCATGACGAAACTCGCGGCTGCCGCCCCTACTCCACAACCTCCTCCTACCTCGCGGGGGACGTCCTGAAACCTCTGGGACCAGCCGAGCGCACTCGAAGACAGTGGAGAATCAGCCTGGAGCCTCTCCTCCTCTTCCTGTTCTATTCCCTCATCCAACTCCTCACCCAGGCCCTGGAAGTGATGCCAAGAGCATCGATTCGAAGGCAGCGAGCAACCCCTTCTGCCTTGGGCGCCACGGGGCAATGTGCGACGACCTGCCCTTGAGGCGTCGCCCTCGCTCGACCAACGGCTTCGCCGCCTGGCCTTCGGTCGCGCCCCCCGTCGCCGCCTCCCCTCCGAGGGCGCCCGGGCGACGAGAGTGGAACACTGCGTTCTCTGTCTTGCGATAATTGCATGCGACACGAAACCTCCGACCTCTGCGGCAATAGTTGCCATCGCTGTGGCATTTGCAGTTCTGAGGGCCCCTCCTGCGTGGACTCGAGGGTGTCTGGAGGGCAAAGTCTGTTTCTCTGTTCATGCGATAAGCTCCGATGAAGGTCTCATTCAATTCTGCGCTGGAACTCCAAGTCAAGTCTGGCCCTCAGCACCAACTTCGATTGATGTATTACTGGAACTCTGATGTAACTCTGGCCCAAGGCCCAAGTCATATTTAGGTCTGACTGGGAACTCTAAAGTAAGAATGATTACGGTTCGGCTTGGGCCCGCCGAAACTAACGTCGCGGCGTTGGCCCAGAACGCTGCCGGGTCGGCCCCGTGCGCGTGCGTCTTCAAGAACAACATAAGGAATGCGTGAGCCAAGCGGCAGGTCATGACTGGGGGCCCAGCCGCCAGCTGCCACATACTGCGAACTGGGCCCGCCTGCGCACGCCGCCCTGCGGCAACGCTCAGGCAGAGCCCGCGCGGGGGGCGCGGGGCAGCGCCCCCCGCCCGCCCTGCCCAAAGCTGCTCAACGGCAGCTGGGGCGAAAAAAGGCTCACCCGAGGCTCGCTCCTCAGGGCTGCAGGCTGACGCGCCGCGACCGGGCGCGCATCACGGTGACCGCCCCAATCCCCGCTGCCCGCCCGGGACAGGTCGGGGGCAGAGCGCGTGGAGGAGAAACGCTGCACTTTTCGGAAGGCTTGGGGGCGCGGGAGGTGCTCTGGGAGGCGCCCAGGACGAAGTCAGGGACAAGAGGCAAGGGTAGGAACGATCGTGAAAACGAAGGCGGAGGCGAGGGCGGGAACCAGGGCGGGAACGGGGGCGGGGGCGATGGGCGAGAACGAGGGCGAGAACGAAGGCAAGAATGAGGGCGGGAACGAGGGCGGGAAAGAGGGCGAGAACGAGGGCGGGAATGAAAGCGAGGACGAAGGCGGGAACGAAAGCGAGAACGAGGAAGATAAAGAGGGCGGGAACGAGGGCGGGAGCGAGGGCGAAAACGAGGGCGAGAACAAGGGCGGGAACGAAGGCGGGAGCGAGGGCGGGAACGAATGCGATAACAAGGGCGATAACAAGGGCGGGAGAGACGGCGAGAACGACGACGGGAGCGACGGCGGGAGCGAAGGTGAAAACGAGGGAGAGAACGAAGGCGAGAACGAGAGCGAAAACGGCGGGAACGAGGGCGGGAGCGAGGGCGGGAACGAAGGCGGAAACGAAGGCGGGAATGAGGGCGAGAACGAGGGCGAGAACGAGGGCGAGACCGAGGGCGAGAACGAGGGCGGGAACGACGGCGGGAGCGAGGGCGAGAATGAGGGCGGGAATGAAGGCGGGGGGCCTACTCTGGGCGCCTCCGGGATTCCTCCGGGCGCCTCGGGAATTCCCCGGGCACCTCCAGGGTGAATGTCCGGGGGAACTCCGGGGAACCTCTGGGGAACCTCCGGGGAACCTCTGGGGAACCTCCGGGAGGTCTGTTTGAAGTCTTTTTGAAGTACGTTTGCGGTCTGTTTTGGGCCAAACTCTGATTAATTAAGGTCTGTTTGAAGTCTGCTTAAAGTCCGCTTGAGGTATGTTTGAAGTCTGGCCGAAACTCTGTTTCAAATCTGATTTCCCCGGGCGGCCCTTGGGTTCCCCGCGCGGCCTCTGGGCGGCCTCGGACAGAGGGCGAGAACGAAGGCGAAAACGAGGGCGGGAACGAGGGCGGTAACGAGGGCGAGAACGAGGGCGGGAACGAAGGCGGGAACGAAGGCGGGAGCGAGGGCGAGAACGAGGGCGAGAACGAGGGCGGGAACGAGGGCGAGAACGAGGGCGAGAACGAGGGCGGGAGCGACGGCGGGAGCGAGGGCGGGAGCGAGGGCGGGAGCGAGGGCGGGAGCGAAGGTTGGAACGAGGGCGGGAACGACGGTGAGAGCAAGGACGGGATCGAAGCCAAAGGCGAGAAAGGGGGCTGACATGAAAATGGCCTCGAGCGGGGGCGAGGGCGGGCGCGGGGGCGAGGGCGAAGACGAGGTCGGGCGCGGGACCTGAAGCGAGGGGGGAAGCGAGGGCGAGAACAAAGACAAGACACTGAGGCCGAGGAGCGAAGACTGACGCTCGATACGGAGGAGGGGGAGGGGGGGGATGAGGAGGACGAGGAGGAGGAACAAAAGGACGAACGGAGGAATGGGGGCCGAGGGCAGAGGAGGGACAGCACGTGGAGGGCGACGGCGACCGAGGAAGGAAGAAACGGGACTTGGGAGGCCAAGGGGGGAGGAAGAAGGAGGAGGAGGGAAGGTGGAGGATAAGGGAGGGGATAAGGGGAGGAGGGAGAAGACAAACTGAGGAGAAGGGGGGGCTGTAGGGAGGAAGAGGGGCGCGAACGGAGGAGGAGGGAAAGGGAGGGAGAGGGGAGCGGAGGAAGGAGGGAGGGGATAGACGAGGTAGGCAAGAAAGAGAGGGGAGGAAGGAGGATGGGCAAGGAGAGAGGAAACAGTAGAAGATGGGGGGAAGGAGGGCCTCGCCGCAGGATGGGGGGAATCCCCCCATCCTGCGGCGAGGCCCTCCTTCGCTTGCAGGAAGACAGACGCACTTGCGCAGCGCGCCCCGCGCCCTCCGCCCGGGACTGCCAGAACTCTTATGGTACTCTGATTTAGCTCTGTTTTGGCTCTGGCCTAAACTCTGATTCATCTCTGGTTTGGCTGAAACTCTGATTTGGTCAGGCCTGAAACTCTGATTCATTTCTCGGGTTTAGCTGAAACTCTGATTTAGCTCTGGTCTGGAACTCTGATTTAACTCTGATTTAGCTCTGGCTGGGGACAGAGCCGAATCAGAGTTAAATCAAGGTTCAGACCAAAATTAAATCATAAATTCAATTAAAAATCAGAGATGAAACAGAGTTCCGGGCCAGAGTTGAATCTGAGTTGAATCAGAATAGTATTAAAGCTTTTTGCGTTTAGCTATTGAGGCTAGCTTGCCTTCCAAAAGACATACTTAAGCATGGACAAGTATCCATCTCGCCATCGTCTTTCTGACAGTCGCCACTGTGAACCGTAGCCGTCTAGTATCATCACGTTCTGGCTCACGATGGCTTGCGACCTAGACGGAAGCGGCACCTTGATATTGCGCGGGCTGTCTTGCACGTTATGCTTGCGCTGCTGTGTCATCCTTGGCGGGGGCACATGTGGTCCTGGACAATATAATGCGACTACCACCTTAGCGACGATCTGGTAGAAAATCCTCTGGGAACAAGACCCAGTTTGACATCCATGATGGACGCCATTCGATCAAGTAGTCATTATGTCAGCTACAGCAGCGAAGTAGACGATGCTCATAACAACCGATCCCTGGTCGGAAAAGGAACTGCGTAATGCCCACCCCAACTGTCCATCTGTTAATGACAGAGATGCTTGCCCCCAGCGCAAACTGCGAGAAGCATGACACCGTGCTGTGAATATTGTGACGAGCTGATTGCACCCGGACTGCCTGCAGCCCGCTCACCAGGGCACAGCTGCACGCTTGGTGCTGGCGCAGGGCGCAAAGGGTGCGAGGAAAGCAGCATGGTACTGGCATGGGCATCGGTGCTCTGCGTGTTCGAACGCGGGAGCAGCTTTGGAGCCGGTCTGCCCGTCCATCCATTGGCATCCTGCCAGACATGCCGTGGCTGGCACGCACAAAAAACGCGCGATTGTGAGCAATTGGGTATCGAAAACTTTGGCAAGATCCCGACAAGATCTCGGACGAATCTTTGGATATCAAGAACATTGGGCGATGGCATGGCTCACGCGGCCGAAGTTGGATTAGCAATTCCAGCTGGCTGCGGCGACTAACAGCTCAGCTCTGCTCTGGCAAGGCGGCGCCGAGTCAGAACAACTCCTAAACATGGCGCGCAGGATGAGGAGCAGCAGCAGGAGCAGGAGCGCCACGACCAGATGCGGGGGGGTCACACGGTAGCCAGACAAAGAAAGGCGAGCTTTAACGTACGCATCCAGCCAAGCTGAAGAGTTGCGCAATGCAGCATGACTCGATGGCCGTGTGCACAATGGCCCGGGAGGGAACTGACTCGGTGACCGTATGCACCATGGAAGAATTCGGCCAGGCATGTCCACAAACGAAAGCGCAGCTCATGCCAGCGGCATTCAAGCTGCTTGTAAGAAGACGCATCGATCGACCACTCACATGCATGCGGCACCCAGTCACACTTGAAACACAAACCACGCTTAGCATGATACGAATTCCCAGCAGCAGATGACGTACATAACGTGCATACAGTACGAGGGCTTCTGAGAGGCAGACCCGCTGTTCCAGTGCGCGTGATGTAGCTCATCCTGGTGAGGGTCCCATCGAAACGTGTGCAGCAATTTTGACTTCGTATTCGAAGGGATCGCAATGAGGCCAACTACCAAGCGAACCGAGGCACGTCAAAATGTCGCCCATGGTGATTGCACTTGTTCCCAGGGCACGCGCAAGGCCTCTCCAGCTTGAATATCTGTTGCCCGTGTATGTTAAGATATGAGGGACCGAAGCCCTGATCAAACACACACACACACACACACACTTGGCTCCCAGGTACGATACGGCTAGTCAGTGATCCGATCACCAATCCCAGCGTCGAAAGCCAATGAAATCATTCGCGAGGCCACCTTCGAGAAGGGCAGCTGTTCGGCCCGGGCCGTGACGCGCGGCGCTATCTTCGCTGCACTGGGGGTGACCTTGATCATTCTGGAGCCCTCTTGGGCACTCTTAGAGTCGTGTAGGTCCCCTCGAGAGGATCGGAATCATCAGGGCATCCCTCCGGGCCCTCGTGAATGTCTTCTGGCCTGTGTCGCGGGGCCCGTTCGGACCCTTCGGGGCTTTCTGAAGGCGTCGTGGAAGCCTCTCCAGACATCCGGCTGCTCCAATTTGTTCGATGCGTGGGCCCAGGAGGTACGGACTACTTCCCTAGGGCCAGCTTCTCGTCTAGAGGACCGGCGAGGGCCCCTGGAGGCCGAAAACTACCAGAAACCCGCCGCTACAATTTTTCTCTAGCGTCGGATCTCTGGGTCCAGGTGCCTCCTCCCCGATCCATGAGGACTCTCTCGTTCGACATGGGACCCTGGCGCTTCCCATCGGGCCACCGCAAGGGGGCCCCGTGGGCCACCCTGGAACGACCCCGCGAAGCGATTGGGAACCAGTGCCCCGAGGGCGAGGGCACCAGACAGAGGGCTGCGCGGCCTCCTCCGCCTCCTCCTCCGCCTCCTCCTCCGCATTGTCCGTCCATTCCTTTTCCTTTTAAATAACTCCTCCCTGTCGCACCCCGAGGCCGGTCGAAAGGGCGGGCCGGGCGTTTCGCCTGAGGCTTCCCCACCACTTATGACCCTGAAGCTTGAAAAACGCAACAGCAATTTCACACATAGAGGGCGGGCGGTGTTCACAATGTGGCGCTCGCCTTAGCGCCGCCCATATCTATACACATAATAATATTGTTTTAAACATTTGCAAGAAATTCACGGATTGAGGGCGGCTCGTTTTCAAAATGTGGCTCTCGCCTCAGCGCCGCGCACATTCGTATTAAACTTTGCCGCGAGCTTCACGGATTGAGGGCGGCTCGATTTCAAAATGTGGCTCTCGCCTTAGCGCCGCGAATATTGGTTCTAAAAGTTGCAATGGATTCACGGATCCCCATGGTCAGCGTAGCGTACCAGGAGTCGTATCTTTAACGGATTCAGGATTGTGAGGGCGCAACAGTTACGCTTATTCGCGGTGTTGAGATCCCAAGAATGGAGAATGGCGTCCTGGCGCGATTCAGGGTCGTCAAGACGCAACAGTCAGGTTGATCCGTGGCGCTGCAGTCCCGAGAATGGTGTTTCGACATGTTTCGGGATCTTCAAACGATTGTCTCCCAACGAGGCAGTTCCCTCAGTGGAAATGAGCCCTGTATGGGGCCTATGAAGAGAGAGCTTGGATGATGGGCCGATTCCAACATCGCTGATGAGTCTTAGGTTTACACTGGTCCTCCTCCTCCTCCTCCTCCATCCTCCTCCTCCTTGTCCTCCTCCTCCTCCTCCCTCCTCCTCCTCCTCCTCCTCCTCCTCCTCCTCCTCCTCCTCCTCCTCCTCTTCCTCCTCTTGCCGAGCGCGCGGCGGAAAGAGGGAAGGAGAAGCAGGAGGATGAGGGCGAGGGGGGAAGGAGCACGAGGGACGAAGAGGGAGACGACAACGACGACGACGACGACGACGACGACGGCGACGACAACGACGGCAGCGGCGGCGGCGACGGCGACGGCGACGACGACGGCGGCGGCGGCGGCGGCGACGGCGCGAGGCCTCGAGAACGCGCGCCACGCGCTCCGCGAGATCGAACCCCGCCACGCCTCCGGGCTGCCGGCACGCGTGGACCACGGCCTCGGGTCGCCCACCTCCTCCCCCTCCAGGAGGGAGGGAGGGAGGGAGGCAGGAGGAGGGAGGGAGGGAGGAGACGTGGGTCTTCGGCCGTGCTGCTGCACCCTCTCCTGAACCTCTCCTGAGGCCTCTGGAGGAGAGAAAGAGAGCGAGAGAGAGAAAGAGAGAAAGAGAGAACTTACTTGAGCGACCGCACCGAATCAGTTCGCAAATACGGTGCGGCAGCGCGATCAGCAGCCGATGGCCGCCTTCGCTGCTGCCAGGATCGTGTACTGAAATGTGGGAGCGTTGGCACGCTCCCTCGCGCATCATACTCTGCGTTGGGCTTGTGACGTGAAGTGCCAAGACACTCATATGATGCAAACTGGGACGTGGATACTGCAGCTCAGAATCTGGTTCCACACCCAGTCCAAGGCGAGTAATGGGGGACGCGGGCAGGTGACCACCAGGGAGAACAAGAGGTGAAGCCGGCGAGGGCAGCACATGTAGTGGCCGAAATCAGCACAGACTGGAAGCGCGCATCCAGAAAAACAGGGCCGAATATCCATAGCCATAGATGGGAGCCGAGCTGAAGATCCAGAGCTGGGAACCGAGAACTTCCTGGAGGAATTTGCGATTTAGAGCGTTCTATGAGGTTCTGGGGAGTCCTAGTTTATGCCTTTCGTTCAATTAGGTAACCGACCCTCCTCCTCCTCCTCCTCCGTGCACCTCCCGATCCGCCGTCTTCGCGTCCTACTTGTCCACCCCGATCCGTCTGCTCTTCCTGGCCCCTCCCCTTTCCCTTCCCTCCTCCTCCTCCTCCTCCTCCTCCTCTTCCTCCGCCTCGCCTCCTCTTCCTCGCCGCTTTCTTCTTCCTACTCCTCCTCCTCTTCCTCCTCCTCCTCCTCCTCCTCCTCTTCGTCCTCCCCTCTTTCCCCTTATCCCACCCTCTCTCGGTCCTACTTCTCATCGTCCTCCTCCTCCTCCTCCTCTTCCTCCTCACCCTCTACCAATTCGCCTCTGCATCATCATCATCAGCATCAGTACCATCACCAGCAGCAGCATTATCACCATCATCAGCATCAGCATCATCATCATCAGCAGCATCATCATCAAGATCAGCATCATCATCCTCAAAATAATGATAATCATCCTCAGCATCATCATCAGCAACACATAATCATCAGCATTGACAGCATCAGCATCATCAGCATCATCAGCATCGTCATCATCACCAGTATCATCAGCATCATCAGCAGCATCACCAGCATCACCATAATCGTCAAAACCATTCTCTTCATCCTGATAATCACCATCCTCATCCTGATCATCACCTTTCTTATCATCATGCTCTTCCTTCTCTGAAGATTCCTTCTCATCCTAGTCCTCCTCCTCCTCCTCGTTCACCTTATCAACCCTTCATCTCCCCCTCCGCCTCGTACTGCCCGTCCCTCCTCCCTCATAATACTTGTTTCCCCTACCGTATTCCTCCTCCTCCTCCTCCTCCTTCTCCTCATCCTCCTCTTCTTCCTCCCCCTCCTCCTCTTCCTCCTCCTGCTGCTGCTGCTCCTCCTCCTCCACCTCGTCCTCCTCCTCCTCCTCCTCCTCATCCTCCTCCTGCTCCTCCTCCTCCTCCTGCTCCTCCTCCTCCTCCTCCCTCTCCGTTCTCCGCCTCGTCCCCCCATCTCGCTCCTGCTCCTTCTCCTGCTCTTCTTCTACCCACGCCTGCTCCGCATACCCTACCCTAACATCCCAGTGCTCCAGTTCCGCTACCTGATCCTCCTCATCCCCTCCTTCTCCACATCCTCGTCCTCATCATCGTCGTCATCATGTCCGGTGTGGGATGATCGGCTGCCTGATCAGGAGCCTCTGCTATCGGATGATGGAACTCGGGACCGATTTGCGAAGCCTTGCAAGCTGGCGCTCGATTCTCAGGCTTAGACTAGGAGTACGCGGCCCCCTATCATACATGAAGCGGAACAAAAAAATGCCTAACCCAATTGGTCCAGTGGTCTGGTGAAAGGGGAGCGCCGCTCTGGCAGAGACCACTCTGGCAGAACCGCCACGGCAACTACAACTGAGACCGCTCCAGCAAACACCGCTTCATAACACCTCCGACATGAGATTGTTCTGGCAAGAGTCCGCTCGGGGTGAGAACGCTCTGATGACTGAATCGTAGCTGGGAGCCCTGCTCTGGTAGCGTAATGATATGGACCCGCGTGAGGTAAGGTTTTCATCTTGATGGACACAAGTGGTTGCTGGAGTGGGGCTGCAGTTGTCGAACAGAGGTATACTCGTGAGGTAGTCTCTGGCGAGACAACGAGAGGGACCCCTCGCGAGGATTGCACCCTCATGAGCAAAATCGCACGCGACAGTGGAGCTCTAGCAGCCCGACAATTAAGACCCAAGTGAGGGCTGCACCCTGATGCACGGCATCGCCCACCTGGCACGTCCCACTCCCCATATCAGGAGACCTGGCAAAGGCTGTACACATGATTCCTGGATCTGCTCAGGTTGATACTCGGATTCAGTCGATGTTTGATGGCTGGCCCACCTGTCCCCCACCCTGATCAAGGCACCTAGCAATCCTTTCTGGCAGGCTGGTGGGGACACGCAACGCTTCACCAAGTAGAAACTCTTGAAGACATCGGTGGGGAGCTAGATGGGAGAACACACGAATACATCCCAGCAGCGGTTCTTATAGACCTGACAACAGAATAGCTGTTGTTCATCATACCCATCTGTCTGAATGGAGGCACCTCGGTGTGAGGGCATAGGGAGATGGCGGAATGGTTGACTCCCAGAGAAAACTTCCAAATTAAAATTAGAACCGATTCATCGTTCCACAGTATTTGTGTCTGGGCGGTCGAAAAAACGCCCGTGCCAGGGCAACCCTGGACCCGATGTCGGTGCACACGCCCTCACTCGGCTGGGAAGATATGCAGGTAACCGACCCGGGTAGGCACAGCTAGTTCTAGACATGACAGGTGGTCTCCGTTCAGGCTTGAACGATCTCAGCTGCCAGGGGTCCCTAGAAACTGTCGACACCATCTTTCTTGTGCATATCATGCCTTGCGTTGTTCGCTGTGGGCCTGGGGCCCGAAACGACCGCCTTGAAGCCCGAACGCCGGACTTGAAACTTAGATGCCCGCGCCCACGCCACCGCCGCCCCGACAAGGCACGAATCTGCAGAAATGGGCGTCCCACGACCTTCCCTCGCAATGTCCGGTCAAGACGTGCCGAGGCCAGGGCCAGCTCGACCAGCCAGTCGGAGGGCCCGGCCAACGCGGACGTCCAGTTCTGCGCGGCGAGCAAGGATGGGTGCAGAAACCGAGAGCGAGAGAGAGACTCCGACTTCCGGCATCGTGATCTTTCCTTTGCGTGACCCTCGGACCTCTCGAACCCTGCCCAGGGCTTTCCTCCCCAACCGAAGCTGGTAATGGCGAAAGCACTTCGTCAACACTGTTTCGCACCGCGTGAAACCTGGCCGAATGCAACATCCCTGAATCCATTACTGTGGATGTTTCGCTTTTACCTCCGCTGGCTCCCGCTGGCCTTCTGCCGTCTTCTGCTGGCAGGGCCGCCGCCGTGTACTTCCTCGGGCATCCACCCGAGCCAAGCGGCGCCGAGGGCGTGGACCTCTCTGGAACGCCCCAGGGAGAGAGGGAGAGAGGGAGACGGAGAGGCCTTGCCCGACGGGGCTCAATGAGACGCAGTGTGCGCTCCGATGCCGCCCACGTTGGCGCCGTGAGCTGACGCCAGGTTCCCCTCCCACCTCCTCCTCCTCCTCCTCCTCCTCCTCCTCCTCCTCCTCCTGGACCAGAGAGGGGGGGGGGGGGGGGAATACGGATAGCCAGAGAGAGAGAGAGAGGGGCGGAGGGGTAGGAAGAAGCCTCCTCCGCTGTTGGCAAAAGCCTCACCAGCAGCGGCGGGAGCTGGGTTGGGCAATGCTCTCTGTCTCTGTCCTTTCCCTCCTCCTCCTCCTTTTGCTCCCTCCTCCTCTTGCTCCTTGAGCGGTGTGCAGTTGCAGTAGCAGCAGTAGCTCCAGTTCAGCGCTTCGGAGTTTGATGTGTGTGTGAGCTGCAGTCGAAGAGGAAGAGGAAGAGGGCTGCAGTGGCTCGCCTGACGCCGCGCCTCGCGCCGCTCGGAGCGCGGTCGTCCCTGGCACACGCCGCGGAGCGCGAAGCGCTGCCATCCTCGCGCCCCCTTGTGGGCGACCTGGGAGCGAGAGTGTGAGACGAGAGAGAGAGAGGGATCAACGAGGTGCAGTTTCCTCCTCCTGAGAGCGAGAGAGAGAAAGAGAGAGAGGAGACTGACCAACTGGCTGGCTGGCTGACTGACTGGCTGACTGGCTGACTGGTTGAATGACTGACTGACTGGCTGACTGGCTGGCTGCCTGACTGTCTGAATGACCGACTGGCTCGCTGCCACCTGGAGTGCCGAAGGCGCCTTAACGGACAGGAACATGCGCTGAAATGATCTTCAGAATGCGAGACCGAGAGATCGATGGCCGACCCGAACTCAACCTCGCGGCACAGCGAGCCCATGCGATGGTTGACTATTCGGGGCGAGTCCCTGGGCCCTAGGCCCTAGGAACAGGGTGGCACGTACGGAGCCATCGCAGCTCCAGGATCACCCAAACAGACGACATCGACAGATGAAGTGGTCCGCGAGGGGCGTTAACTACTGACCTACCTGCCTGCCCAGACAGAGACAGATAAAAAGAGAGAGAGAGAGAGAGCAAAAAAGAGAGAGAGAGAGAGGAAGAGAGTGAAACAAAAAACAGAGAGATAGAGAGACAGAGAGAGAGAGAGAGCAGCGCCGCTTTCAGCAAGGTTTGAGTAGCAGCGGCGAGACATATCATAGTCAGGGAGATGAATGCTCTTGCAGTGTCCCTGGTGCGTGGCTGGAGTGGGGCTCCGGGCTCCGCTGTGCAGATTGTCGGCATTATCATTTTTGTTGCCGTCGTCGCCCACCCCGCGCCCCGGCCCGCCGCCTTCACGCGCCCACGCAAGGCAGCCTGGGTGAGCCCTGACTCTGCCCTACCATCGTGGAGCGCGTGTTTTCATAAGTGGAGGAGGGATGGGCGAAAAAGCAGGGACAGAGGGGGCAGAAAGAGAAGGAGGAGAAGGAGATGGTGGGAGGAAACGGAGGAGGAGGAGGTAGAGGAGGAGTAGCGAAAGGAGGAAGGAGGAAGGGGGAGGAGGAGGAGGGGAAGGAGGAGGAGGAGGAGGAGGAGGAGGAGGAGGAGAAGGAGGAGCGGGAGCAAGACGAGGGGCAGCAGGAGGGGGTGAAAGGTGAGGATGACGGGAGTGCGGCGGCTGAAGTGCGGTGCTGCTGCACAGGAGCAGGGAGCAGACCGTGATCGGTGAAGCGCCACAACTTCTCCTCTCTGCCGCCCTACGGCCGGGCGGGTGGCGCCAGCGGTGCAGCCTGGCGCGCACGCGGGGCCTCTTCGTGAAACCTCGTGCGCCGCCAGCCCCGCCGAAAACTGCCGGAAAACTGGCCGCGCCCGCGCTCCGCCGCCGCCGACGCCGAAGAGCCGCCGCCGGTGGTCGCACTGTCGGAAGGCCCCGGCCGAAAAAACTTAGGAGGAGGCGCGACGGTAATGCTGGCAGGAAGGAGACGGGTCCTGAAGGATCCTGTGCCTGGATCCCGAGGCTGTCCCTGGTACGAACCAGCCTCGAAGTTATCCGTATGCCAAAACTTGACAGGTCAGAAGGCGACGACAATCTTAGGGATGCGCCCTCGAAAATGGAGGGAATCCTTAAGATCGGCCTCGAGATGAGGCGATGCCAATCACAGGGATGGGGGTATGTTCAATGCTGGCTAGGGACAAATTTCTCATGCTGAGCTGCTGTTTGACAGTCCCTAGGGAAAACAAAGGTACCGATACCGCTCGTCCCGGGACCTCTCCTGGGGTGTGTTCTGGCCAGAATTTCGAGGCGAATCCAGCGGTGGCGACGAGGGCCTCCCAGCAGGCCCCAAACGCGAAAACGAAACGAGGGAAGGGCACAGTCGGACCTAGGCCAGAAAACCATCCCTCAAGAGCATGAGACCCTCCGTCGGCCAAGACAAACAGAACATCTGAGGTCACCCTCCCCAGGATCCACAAGCACATCCAACAAACACGAAGATCACTAGGGTACCCTCCCCGAAACGACCTCGATCTTCTACCTCGGTCCGACCGCAGCCCCGTGGGCGTACCCTCTCCTCCTCGGCGTCCCGGGGCCCGTGGAGGCCCCGGGGAGCCCGAGAGAGCGGCGAAGAGCCTCGGGCCCCGCCTGCTCCGTGGCGGAAGAAGCACGCGCCGCCGGCAAGGTGCCCGCCGGTGCCCACCCCCATGGAGGAAGCGCCAGCGAGGAGCCTCGCGGGCGGCCTCGCAGGAGACGCCCCTCGAGCAGGGGGGTGCTCCGGGTACCCTTGGTCCAGGGTGCCCCCGGCTTGGGGCGCCCTGGGCCCTCTGGGCCTCGTGAGGGGTGCTCTGGGGGCCTCGGTGGCCTTCTGGGAATTTCTGGGGGCACCTTGGGCCTGGGGAACGTCTAGCAACACCCGACTCGAATAGGGGGTCGACTACAGACTACCGACTTGACTTACCCCAACTGTCGTTTGTTCGTCAAATCCAGGAAACGAATAATGTATAATGTTCCGTAGATCTACGAAGCATTCTACGCATGCTTCGCAGGTTCAACGACAAGCACCAATCCTTGAGTAAATCAATGATGTTGTCGATCCCCTCCTCCTCCGCCTCCTCCGCCTCCTTCTCCTTCTCCTCCTCCTCCTCCTGCTGCTCCTCCTCTCCTCCTCCTGTATCCTCGTGCTTCGGGGATCGAAGGCCACACTGTTTTCAGATCGGCCTGCATCCGGAGGCCTTCGGAGGCCTCGAGGGCCTCCGCGGCCTGACCTGGATCGGAGCTGGCGCAGAGCTGGCGCCCCTCGATATCCCAAGACCCGCGGCGTCGTGATCTCGTCACACCGTGATATAGAAGACTCAAGACCTAGGCTACCCTAGGCCCTACCCTAGGCCCTGGGGTACCCCAGGGTAGGCCCTACCCTAGGCCCTAGGGTAGCCTAAGAAAGCCCTACCCTAGCGCCCTAGGGGTAGGCCTAGGATAGGCCCAGGTGTAAGCCCTAGGCTGGTAGGGCAGGCCTAGGGGCAGGCCCTGAGTAGGCCTAGGGTAGGCCTACCCTGAGGATTCTATAGGTACACCGTTGGCCCCCAGAACTCTGGGCCCTTTCCCCGCGACCAGTCTTGCGCCCAAGGCCATACAGTCACGGCTCCTATCCTGGGCCCAGCAAAGGTCCCCCATGGATGCCAAAAAGTTGTCGGGAGGCGGCCTGCCCCGCCGTGAGTGCTTCACAGCGCGAGGGGGGCCAGGGATCGCCCTGCGGGGCTGGGGCCTGTCACGCCCTGGCGCTCGTGTCGGCGTCCTCGGCCGCGCTGGCGGGCTCGGCCTCGTCCGCGGGCGGGCGCTGGTCCGCCGGCGCGGCCGCCGGGTTGGCCGCAGGCGCGACCGCAGGCGCGACCGCAGGCACGGCCGCAGGCACGGCCCCGGAGGGCCCCGGCACCACCACTACGGCCAGCTCGTTCAGGCGCCGCCACGGCAGGGTGTAGGGCGGGTTGTACTGCAGCACGCTGTACTGGCTGGCGTTGACCTGCTGGAAGACACCCTCTTCTTGCAGGAGCTCGGACATCGCAGCGCGTTGCCTCTGCACCTCGCCCTCTGTGACCACACCAGGGAAGCCCTTGACAGCGACAAGGCGCTGGGGCACCTGAACGACCTCGATGTCGTCGGTCATGGCAAGAGGGGGTGCGTCAGCGTAGGCCGATGGCAGCACAAAAGACATGGCAGCCTCGTCACTCCCATCGTAGCTGATCTCCACAGGTGTGGTCATCTCCATTGCTACACTCTGAGTGTTGTTGCCGAACAAGTAACCCGCAAGCTTAGTGAAGCCCTGCCCAGAAGCAAATCCTGTGCCATTGCCGTTGGGCATGGAGCGCTTGGCCACGGTGAACGGCTCGTAGCGTCGAATCTGCACCACACGGTTTCCGTCGCCGAGGGTGCGCACCACCTCGTAGCGGGGCGCCTCCAAACCGCCCGGCATGCGCCGGAAGACGTTCCGCGCCTCCTCCACGGCCTCTTCCCGCTTCTTGTCGTCCAGCGCGAGCGTGAGCAGCCCCGAGGCGACGTCCCCGAGGCTCGGGCGCGATGCGCCCGAGCCGCTCTCGGGGCCGCTCTCGGGGAAGCTGGAAGGCCCCAGGTTCCGAAGGTCCTCGGCGATCTCGGGGAGCTGCTTTGTGAGGGCCTGCAGGCCCTCGAGGTCCGAGCGCGCCAGTGTCCCCTTGGGCCAGAGAGTGTCGATCGCCTCGCCGTGCCCGTCCCTGAACCCTTTTTCGCGGATAGCGCCGACCGCTTTGCCGATGTCGGAGATGACGGAGCCTGGATCTTGCAGCACCTCCTGCAGGCTGCGGAATCGGACCTCCGGCTCGACGTCCACCTCAAGGATCGCTCTGTCGAGCTTCTCCTGCCAGCGGGTGGCGGCCCTGCCGGTGCGGAGCACGGCGGCCCTGCGCCGCTGCAGTGGACTGCCGGCGAGGAAAGCTGCAGCCCTAAGCGAGGCAACGGCCACCCCAAACGAGGCTGCACACGCCAGCGCCAGGGGGACACCGCACCCCCGACCGCGGCGGTGCCTGCGAGAGGCACTGGCGTGGCACAACATCGCCCACGCCAGGCCTGCACGCACCTGCAACGCACGCGGGCCAACACCGAAATCAGCTCGAGTGAACAGCGACGGAAAAGGACGGCCGGCAGCGAGGATGAGGATGATAATGCTGCTAATGCAAGCAGAGGGCCAGAGGAGGGGAAGAAGACGAGGTGGAGTACGCAGAGGAGAAGGGAGAGTCGGGAGGAGCAGGGGAAGAGGAATGGGAAGGAGGAGGAGAGAGATGAGGAAGGGGATGATCGCGTAGGCAGTTCACCGGAATTCTTATATCAGCGGAACGGGCTCCTGGAGATTCACACGCCGTTTTTGCGATGCGGCTAGTGGGGTACCATCTTTGGGTTATGAAGCAGCACCCTTTATACCACATATTACATGTTGCAGAGGTGTTGGCGGGAAGAACGCGTACAGCATTCCACGACACGAAATGCATGTATTTCTGATCTGTGTGACCGCCCTGGAAATATTTGCCTTCTGGTCGCTTCGGGACGATGTGTGCTGCTTGCTGCTTAGTCAATCACGCCAACCCTTTCAAGGACTCTATTGGGTCAAATCTAGGCGATACTAGCAGTGGGTGGCAAGACCCTTCTTTTAGACAAGCTCACCCACGGCCATGACATGCCATTCTACATCTACCACGCACACGCCAGCATGCCTCCCATTAATGGCACTGCGCAGGAAGAACAATGAACATTACCCAGGGACACACCACACCCACCGACGACGAATGGCAGAACCACGGGGTGGGTGCACGAAGGTCAGACCTCTGGTGGACCACCCAGAAGCTCACGAAACCGGCGACAACGGCGCAGCAGGCAGCGCCCAGGGGGGCGAGGTCTCCTTCGGGCTCAGCTGACAACGCCAAGGGAGGCAAGGTCTCCGGCGGGTCTCCGGAGGGCCGCGCTACACTGGACCGCCCAGGAGCATACCAAGGAGGTGGCAGGTGCGCAGCTGAGAACACCCATACAGGCGAGGCCTCACCTGGGTTTGTGCAGGCCTGCGCGCTGGTCCCCCTCAGGAAATCGCGGAAGCGGCAGCTTGCTGCACCGCTGGAAGCGCCCAGGGAGGCGAGATCTCCTTTGAGTCTGCGCAGGACCGCGCTCCGCTGGAACCCCCGTGAGCCTGCAAAAAAAGCGACAATGGCGCATGCGAGAGCAACCATTGAGGCAAGGTCGAATGAGGGTCTGCGTATGACCACACCCCGCTGAACTCCGTCAACAGCTCAAGCGGCAGCGGCTGCAACGCTGACAGCGCCCAGGGAGGGTTGCGATACCCCATGTAGGTATGCGAAAGATCACACTCCGCTGGACCGCCCAGGAGATCACGAGTTGAGTAGTTGACAGCGCCCAGGGAGGCGAGGTACCATTTGGATATGCCAGGACCGCTCTCGGCTGGACCTACCAAGAGATCACGCAAGCGGTGGTAATTTCGCATGTGGTTGGCAACGCCGATAGAGGCGAGGTCTCATGTAGGCCCGCACAAGACAATACCCCCGCTGGACCTCAAAAATAATACGACAGCGGCGACGATGAAACACTTGGCAGCGGCCAGGGAGGCGAGGTCTCATGAAGGTCCGCGGAAGACCATGCTCCGCTGACCTGCCCAAGATATGACGGAAGCGGCTGCAGTTACGCAGCCAGCAGCGCCAGCACAGGCATGGCATCTCGTGGGTATGCGTGGGGCCAAGCACTGACACTCTGCTGGACCGTTCAGGAGCTCACGATATGGGCGACGGATGCGCAGTTGACGGCGTCCAGGAAGGCGAGGTTTTACGTGGATCTGCTCAGGACCGCACTCTGCTAGACCTCTGTGGCAGGAGCTCACGAATGCGGCGACAGGTGCGCAGCTGACAGCACCCAGATAGGCGAGGTCCCACATGGGTCTGCCACAGAGACCCACCCCGATGAACCTGGACCTCCCATGAGCCCACAAACGCGGCGACAATTGCGCAATTGGCAGCGCCCAGAAAGCGCACCCGCAACACACACACAACCACACGCACAAAAACATGTATCTATAAGTAAGAATAACACACGGAAGCAGCAGGTAACCGAGAGCTGGATGCAGGAGACAGGGGAAGGGAGGAAAGAGGAGGTGGGCAGAGAATAGGAGCAGCAATGCTGTAATCAAAGAGGGGGCCCAACATATGAGGGTTGGGAACAGACAGGGAGTATGGAGGTCTCGAGTTGAACCATACGATCTATCCAGGAATCGCAGCCTTAAGCCAAAACTGAAAGGCGACGACAAGGACAACGCCGACAACAACCACGATGACAACGACGACGGCGGCGGCGAAATAGTGACACCAACGAAGGCGGCGAAGCGAGATGCATAACGAAGGCATGAGGACAACAACAATGCAATTCTGCGCATCGAAACAATACCCGCAGAAAGCCGAACCGGAGTCCTGCTTCAACGACCACCATGTCATGAGCCAGATGAGCGTCTTCACCTGAGGGTCCGCACATTTGAGATTACGAGTGGATCCAAGTGCTGCTTGGAAGCAGAAGCGGTAAGTATTCAAATTCGCCGGGACCACTCTCGAAGGACAAGCACATTTTCACTCTGCTTGCTACCAGGCCTACATCTTTTCTGGCGGCATGGCCTAATTAGATGTAGCTGCGAATGTGTCTGGCACTGTTCGGATGCGATCGCTCGAAGCGCGCGTACAGCTGCTCGGGTCGCCACGGGACTGGCCTGGTCCAGGGCGCCCCAAGACAGCCCAAGACAGCCAGAGGGAGACCAAAGGACGCCCCAAGACGGACCCATTCAGCCTCAGTGCGACCCCAAGACGGCCCAAGGTGATCCGGGAACGGCCCCAGAGAGGGCCAAGACGGTCCACGAGGGTGCTTGAAAAAAGTTCAAGAAGCCAAGACTTGCCAGAAGCGTGCGGGCCTGGAGACCGGGGCCAGAGCCGAAAGGCAGTCAAACGACACAGAAACATGTGTTTGGGGAGTTGTTTTCCCTGGCCCATGCCAGGAAATGCAATCCGATAGTAAAGAAACACGCGCTTAGGGAATGGTTTTCCGAAGCCAGGGCTGGGGCCAGAGCCTGGTCTGGGGCTGAATCGGGGAACAGAAGTGCTGCATGTCGGTGCTTGCCGATCTCTCTCTTTCTCTCTCTCTCTCCCTCTCTCTCGCTCGCCTGTTTCTCGGGGTAACAGCCAGTGACGGGCCGCGGTCATCAGCTGAAGCACGCAGTGGATTGCACCAAAACGTTCGGGATATGTTTCCCCCGTGTTGGCCATGCCCCGCCAACATGTTCCGAAGACAGCGACAACAAAATGCGAATGCTCATAACGAATCGGATCACAAGGAATGGGCGCATCGAGGCACACACTATCAATAGTCTTGGGACGTCGTGAATACCGCACAGCAGGGCGTGACTGCCACATGTAGGGCACACTTGCCTCAAGTACGTAAGCCTCAGGCACGAGCCCAGGTCACAAAGAATGCAAGCAGGCACTTCGCCTGTGACATCTATAGTATTGTCGTGAACACTGATAAGATCGGGTCTACTTGCAGCAACAACAAATCGACGGAAACTTCAAATCGGCGGTATAGATGCACCGTAATGTTCTTATGTGGGCCATGTTATGGCCAAAAAGGTTAGATGGCAGGGACCAGCAAAGAAGAGACACAAGCACACTTTGTTCCATTATGCCCACGATGCCGACGTGTTAACACAACATTCGACCAACCAGGAATGTTCCAACAAAGTTATGAACAATCGGCCACCAAGTTCTACCCGGGAGCGCGTGCGCAGAGACATAGAACCAGACCAGAACGCTTCGCCACCGCTTGAGAACACGTTCCGGCCTTACGGACCTGGGCGCTGGCTTCTGGCACCGCGTGCACCGTGTCCAATCTTGCGCGATCTCCGCTCCCCCGAGGCTGACATTTCGCGTGTTTCGCGCCGTGGGTCGTTGCTCGGCGGGTCCTGGGGCCCGGGACGGGCCCCCTGAGGGTGCTCCACCTTGGGAGGCCTGCGCCGGCGTCGCCGCCAAGCCGAGGCGAGGCGGCACAGCTCTGCCGTGACGGGCCGTCCCGGCCCTCTTCCGTCGCCTGCTCGGACTGGTTGCCCACGAGCTCGTTGCGCTCCTGGGCGGGCGCGGGCTCCCCGGGACAGAGCGGCGCACGTGCTGGCGCGACACGGCCACGCCTGCCGCTTGCACCTGCCGCGCCAACGTGTCTGGACTGCTCCCACCCCTCGCCCCACACGCACTCACAAGCTGTGGGAGAAATCCAAGAAAGGAAGCTTCTTCACAAGCGCGACTGGGGCACTGTGGCGACCGAAGACGGAGGTGACATCCGAGATGGCACCGGACTCTTTCTGAACGCAACATGTTCAAACAACAAGCCGAGGGACTGGCGCAAAAGACAGTGTGTGAGAGAAAGAGGAGGGTACGACCTACCCATTTGTCGCGAACATACGTGCTCACCCTGGGCGGTGATCGATGGGGGAGCACCCCGTGTTCTCACCTTACCCGCCCTGATCCCAACGCGAGAGGCCAGACGCTTGTGTCACCCACGCCCGCTGCAGCAACCCGCATCACGGAACAAAAATCCAATGAGGCAGGCGATGCTTCCAGACGCTCCCCGAGCCTCGGTTTAGGGGCAGCTCGAGGCAGATGGTATACTCTGAGACGTTTCGTTAGCGCGGGGAGTGCATCGCATGGGTGTGGGAAGATGCTCTCTTCGGCGCGCGTAGGGGTAGGGCCATAATGGGCTGACTGATGGCGTGGCATGGAGATTCTTGCCTCGCCAGACCTTCTTCGAGAGGGTGAAGTCCACCGCGGAGGAGGTAGAAGTCCGCCGTGGGGGGAGGAAGGAACGGATGAGGAGAGGGGGGGAGGTGAGAGAAAGACACGGAGGGAGGAGGAGGAGGAGGAGGAGGAGGAGGAGGAGGAGCGCCAGTACCTTCCGCAGAGTTCGTCAACGACTCAACCTCGACGCCTCGGCCTGAGCCAACTGTATGGCCTAGCCGCATTGGGCGGAGGGGGTAACATCGAGTAAGTGTTTGGCATTTTGGCTAATGCCGCTTTGAGGGCATCTAGCTGCTGCGGTAGAGTTAAAGGGCGCCCGTCTTGATGCGAGGCGATGTCCTTAGCAACGTGGTAAATCTAGAAACTGAGAGCTGTTGCTAGAATTGCATTTTCCCGGGTGAGGTCAAACGCGGGATATTGCACATGGAGCCCAAGCCCTAGATAGAGGACGGGGCACGGCGAGACGACAGCTCGAGGACGACAAACGAGGTAGGTAAGACGGGGGCACTTAAAATAGTGCGCTGAGCATTCGGTGTGGGAACACCCGAAAACACAGCCCCATAAAGTGTCTGTAACGTGCATTTGGTCCGTGGTGGTCCATCCCCCCGAAATCGTCTTGAGGTACGGCCAGCGAACGCTCGGAGGGGCTCGACAAAGGATTTCCCGCACAGGAGGAGGAGGAGGAGGAGGAGGCGGAGCAGAGGGTTGACCAGAGGGAGAAGGAAGTAGTAGAAAGATGGGCGGAGGAGGAGGCGGAGGAGGAGGAAAGGGAAGGCGCCCGTTCCCGAGCGCCCTCCATGACCGCTGCGGGAAGTGGGACAGGGAAGTATGGCAATCCTGAGGCTGCGCACAGACAGCCCTCGGATGTGACCTGGGTTTGCCCCAACGGGCCCTCGAGGTAGCACGAGGAAGTCTCAGCACACCGACCCCGCGGCGCGAAATTCCCCAGGGGCGCCGCCTGAGGCGGCGCTGGGGAATTCAGACCACCCCGGACGGGGGCGTGGTGAGGCCAACCAGGGATCATTGGCCCTCTGAGCACAACCCCAAGCCTTACCACACCTCCTGCTCCCACTCCTTACAACGGTCAAGGGTTTGCGTGACGCGTGCTTCCATGATACAAAACTAGACAGAATAGCAGGTTAGCACTTATCCGACTGAGCGCCATCCACACCCTGGGCGGGGGAAAACAACAATTCTGAGCGTAAACAGACTGCGCGCTACGAAACCACGTCCCCGAAGTCTGGCAGCTCTTGTGCGCGGCGACAATACGTGCCGATTCACATTCTTAGAGCGAAGAGCACTGCAGATGCATGCGACCCGCCAAGCCGAAGGCAGAAGCAACGCATAGAGCCGAGCAGCTCAAGAGGAGAAGACGAACTGCCTGCCAGTCCGCACCTCCAGTCACGACGGACCTATGAGGAAAATCCGCACTGGACAAAACGAGGTCATTTGGCCTGGGCCCTTGAATTTGATGTGCGGGCCACTTCGCTCTGTGGCAGGTGCATTCGAGAAGAACTTCAAAGACGGTAGCTGGGCAGCACACACCCCAGAGCCTCAGAAAATGTCGGACTCCGGCCTTTCAACGCGTGAGGAAGTGCTTCTTTACGAGCAGGAAACTAAGCAGCCCACCGAGACAGCTTCTCTTTGGCGCGAGCAATCCAGCACTTGCGGTAGACCCAATCGAAGCTCCTCGTACATAAGGTCCGACCGCGGCAATGCCGTCCAGAGTCGTTGCACCGCAAGGGGCACACAAGGGGGCTTACCTGAAGCGTTCTCGGGTGGGCAGCGCTGGTCGCAACACCACACGCGCACACACCTCACTCACGTTTTTGACCGCCGCCCCCTGCGGTTGCTTGGGCGTGCCGTGGTTGAAAAACTGCGAGGGGCGTTCCGCTGTCGCGAGCCATATACCATGATCTCCAACTTCTCGGGGAGGTCGTAGAGGTCCAGAGTCATCTTCGCCTTCCAGAAGCCGTGCGTCACCGTCGAGTCATACTTCGTGTAGCCTAACGCCTTGCAAGGACTGTCATTATCTGCCTTTGTCAGGTTGGCTTCGAAGCGGTGGTACAAAGGGTACTGCTTGGGGTCCATGCCACATTCCCCACAATGCTTGGTCCCGAGAATGGACGTCGCAAGCCTGTAGTACTTCGCCTCTGCCGGATCTTTACACTTGTTCTGGCAGCACGGCTCGGGATCCAAGGCCACGGCAGCAGGCTTTGTGTACTCCGTGATCTTGATATCACCGATGACTGACTGGTACGCGCTCGGTGGCGGTGCTGCTCACGACGGCGTAGCACTGGCTTGCACAGGTGCCGGCCTGCAGCCGTTTCATGAAGGCATCGGCGTAGCTCGCATACACTTGCAGTTCAAGTCAGACTGGCCGCACAGGGGTCCTTTGATGGCGCGCACTACCGCGCGCGTGGGAGCAGGTAACCAGCCTCGATTTCACCCCTATGCCTAAGATTGACAAGCACAAGGCGCTGACAATCTTAGGGATGTGCCCACAGAAGCTGGGCGAATCATTCATACAGGCATCGAGGCATGGTGATTCCAATCTAAGGGAGAAGGATATGTCTCAGGCTGGTGAGACAAAGGAAAGAGGATAACGAAGGAAGAAGCATGATGGGGTGGGTCCTTCTTGGCATGCAGGGGAGAAGAGTTATGAGGGGAGCGTGTCCTGGGCGTTGGGGCTTTCCACAGAACCAGCTGCTTGTCCCGAGTCGTTCTCTGACGGCCCCAGTCCGATGCAAGCATTTTTTATAAGCACCGCCTCGGGAGCCAATAGAAATACATGACTGCGGGACCCGAAAACTCACTGCCTCCTGGAATCATTAACATACCCCAACCTCGAAACTGGGGTGCCGAAGACGGCGCAAAACATCAGGACCCCTTTCCCCTGGGGGCCCATTTCCTTCTTGAGGGGGCCCTTCAATGGCGTAGAGGGAACAGACATCGGCGAGGCAGGTAACCGTGACCGCGACAATGACGGAGGCCCGTGCAACATATTCGTCGGCAGCCGCTCCAGGCGGGTCCCGGAGGATCTAAGAAAGCCGCCTGGCAATGAGGAGAAGCTGCCTGAGCCTGACTGGCTGGAGTGTTTGGATCCCTTGGGCTTCTGGGAATCTCTGGGAGGATCTGACAGGCCTCCAAGGACGTCCAAGGGCCTTCGGAGAACTCAAGGCATGTCTGGGGCGCCTCCAAGGAGGAGCGGAAGGGAGAGCAGCCGAAGAGCGGGGGGAGGGGGAGGGCCAATGGGAGGAGGCGATGGGGGAACGAGGAGGAGGAGGGAGGAGGCGGAGGAAGCACCTGAAAGGAGAAGTAGGAGGAGGGAGACGGAGCACGGGCACCTGAAAGGAGAAGGAGGAGGGAGGAGGAGGACGAGGAGGCCAGCGGAGGCAGAGGCTGAGGAGGAGGCATGCGGGGGAGGGGGAAGGAAGGAGCGAGGAGGAGGACAAGGAGGCAAGCGGAGGCAGAGGCTGAGGAGCTGAGGAGGGGGGGATGCGGGGGAGAGGGAGAGCAGGGAGGAAGAGAGAGGAAGAGGAAGCAGGGGGAATGGGGACGGAGGAGGCAGTGTAGGAGAATAGAACATCGCAAACCTGGGACACCAGAACCAGCTGAGAAGGCGAGCACGGGACACCGGAACAGAACAGCGCTCCCGAGATCCTTCGCCAGGGCCGGGTAGAAGAAGGGCCGCTCGGTGGGCGGCGCGGCGCGAATGCACTCCAGCCTCGGAAGGCGAGCGCGGGGATCCCTCGACGCCCAGGCCCGCTGCGTGCGGGCGCTGGCCGCGATGTGGTCGTCGTCTTTGTGCTGCCCCCCCTCGGCGTCGTCGTCGTCGTCGTCGTCGTCGTCGTCGTCGTCGTCGTCGTCGTCGTGGTGGTGGTCGTGGTAGTCGTGGTCGTGGTCGTGGTCGTGGTCGTCGTCGTCGTCGTCGTCGTCGTCGTCGCTTTCGTCGTCGCGTTCGTCGTCGTCGCGGATCGACATTCGAGAATGAAGTGCTTGAGCGCTCTGAAAGTATTTTGGCCTTCAAGGGACTCCAGAGGCCACCATGGTCCTCCGGGGAAATCTATAAAGACCTCTGGACCCCCCTGAGATTTGTTTGCGCGTTCTTCGCTCCCCGCCTGGCAGAAAATTGTTTACGACCACGGGGGGCTCCCCGCGGGTGCATGTACGCCGAGGCGTTATTGGAAAAGCGCACCCGGCTGGCCTCTATTCGAATAGGTCCACTCGCACAAACCCATCGCTTCGGAAGCGCGGACAGGGCGGGAGGGTGACATAGAGGGGGAGGAGGAGGGGATAGGGGTGGGATGTTTCGCATCTCCGGGGGGTTCAAAAGAGTTTGCTGGGTGTTCTAGAATCCCAGGAGCAACGTGGGAGAGAGAACGACGATCAGGAGCGGGGGCAAGGAGAAGGAGAGGTAGGGGATGGGGGGTGGGGGGACGAGGAGGAAGAGAACGAGGAGGGAACAGGAACCAACAGTGCCCCGAGGGCCGTGCCCGTCTGGCACCTGCCTGCCTCACGCGGCCGCCGCAGCCCCTCTGCAGCAGCACCCACTGGCCAGCGCCGCCCCCAGCGCCGGCGCCCGCACGGGCCTGCCGCGCCCCCCACTCCGCCACGCTCCGCAGCGCCGGCACCCCGGGCGGGTGCTCGGTGACGCGTGCCGTCGCGGCCCGGCCGGCCTTCAGGTTGGCGAGCCGCGGAAGGCTGCGGAGGCCCGCCGGGGCACTCGTCTCGCAAACGGGCCAGGCGTCTCGTCGTGTCCTGGCCGCAACTGGCCATCTCTCGGAGGTCCATTCCCCGTGCACGTTTCGATTTCGTGCTAGAGGATCAAGCATCTTCCTCGATGGTCCTCGCCGAGAAAAAGGCACACGTCCGAGCGATGCCAAGGCAAAGGCAGCACCTCAAGACATCCGATGTGCGCCATGCGGCTGATCGCCCAGCGCTTCCGACGTCCACGACGAGGCGGGCGGTCGCATGCACGGGGCATCGATCCATCTCCAGAGCGCTGTACTCCGCAGCGTGGCGGCGGCAGCGGCAGCGCTCCCATCCACCGCACCGCCGGTGCCCGAGGTCGTGTTGCTCGGACAGCTCCAGGACGAGCTCGAGCTGTGGCGGCGGAGGAGGTGCATGAGGTGAAGGGCCTGGCAAGTTGCCCAAAGCTGGCCAAACGACGTGCGCCTCGCTCACCTGCTCGGCAAGCTCCACGACGTGATTCAAGGCAAACTCGATGCGCTCCTCCTCGGCCGCGCACGCCTCGTGAACATGCTCCAGAACACTGTTCATCCCCTCGCTCGAGCCGTTGCCAGCTAGGTGGTCGGAGTCCGCGATCGTCCGCGCAATGCGGAATTCAGCTGGTTCCAGCCTTTCCATCGCCGCCGTTTTGCGCCGCCGTTTTGGTGTGTCTTCGTCTTCTGGAACAGCACGTCCGCTAGCCCAGAGCCGAGAATTCTCAATGCAGCGCCAGAGGAGAACGAGGAGACGAAGAATGATGCGGAGGATGGCAAGAAGAAGCGAGAGGAGGGGGAAGAGGAAGGAAGGGCAGGAGGAAGCAGAGGGGGGCGGCTAGAGCGATGACGACGACGAGGAAGATGAGGAGAGAGGGGAGGCGGAGGAGGGAATAACAGCAGGGAGGAAACGCGGGACCAGGATCGGGGCAGTGCCAACAAACATGCCTGCCTTCCCACTCACATAGCTCTCCATGCTCGCTCGGACCAGGGATAACTTCTCGCCGCTTACTGCGCGTCAGCCCTACGATCAAAACAAGACCATCGCGATCGCCGTCGACCGTAGTTCACCTCAATGAGCTCCAGTCCTCCCTCCCATGCTTCCTGCAGGGACGGGTATGACAGGTCATTCGCGGACGAGCGCGCTCGGTGGGCCCAAAGCCTTACTGCAAACAACAGCCTCAGCCACTATGTGTTCCTCTGAAAAGGGACGCCCACAGGGCTCGCGCGCTGCAAGCCGCCGAGGGGTGCCCTGACATTACCGAGCGGCATGATGAGGCTCTGGCAAGTGCTCTCGCCCCTTGAAGACAGGCGAGATGTAGATCTGCACTGACCTCAGGGCGCATCGGCAGTGTCGACGGAGAGCCACCGTGGTGTGGGGGACGTCGTCGGCAAGGGCAACACGAGCATGCGCTTGGAACAGCAATTTGCGGGCCTCAAATCATAGCCATGGTTTCCGCCAGTCGGCCATTTGGGCTCGGGGGTATGACAATCCTGAAGGCGAGAGGGAAGGTGAGGAGAGGCGGCAGGAGAGCAATCAGCTACAATACCACAGCCCACATCTCTGCTGGGCATCATAACCGTATCACCCCAATGTCTACGGACCTCGCCCTTCACCCCTTCACATGGCCGTAAAGCCTTACAGAGATGCATGGCAGCAGCGCCAACGGAGAGATCCAGTGCGACAAGTATCGATCAAGATCGAACACGTCCTTAGTATGTGAGCTGTTGAAAGGCTAAACGTGTTTGGGACGTCCGTGCCTCCCTTACTGGGCCGTGCCAATGCCGAGACACAGAACACTCTTCCACAGTGCATTCGATTCAGAGTGGTGGCGCAGCTCACGACGCCCCTGCTACGCGCAACACAAGATCACGGGGTCCTGCAATGTTGCATGAGCTCGCCGGGTGCTGCCCGCACACGCCAAGCATTCATGGAAGCGGCTCGCATGAACATTATTCCAAGAACGACTGAGCAAGCGCAAGATCCGAACATGCTGTCCATCCACGAATCTGCGAAGCACAACCTCCTCCTCCAGACTCCTCCTCCACCTCATCATCTTCTTCCGTCCTGCCCTACCCCGTCAGCCCTCTCAGTCTCAGTCATCTCTCTACTGATCCTCCATCGCCTCCTCATCCTCCTCCTACCTACCTATCTACCTACCTACCTACCTACCTACCTACCTACCTACCGACCGACCGACCTACCTACCTACCTACCTACCTACCTACCTACCGACCTCCCTACCTATCTACCTACCTACCTATCCACCTACCCACGTCTCCCGGAGAGACAACAGGAGAGGCCGCAGGAGGACGGATGGAGAACGATGGTGAGGAGGGCGAGGTAGGTTGGTTGGAGGAGATAGGAGCGGACACCAGAGGACGAGGGAGAGAGGGGGAAGGGAGAGGGGGAGGCCCTCCCCCTGCCTCCCCGTCCAGCGCTCCAGTCTCCTACTCATCCTCCTCCTGCTGCTCCTCCTGCCTCTCCTGCTCCTGAATATCCTGAATCTCCTGAATCTCCTGAATCTCCTGAATCTCCTGAATCTCCTGCTCCTCCTCCTCCTGCTCCTCCTCCTCCTCCTGCTCCTCCTCCCCCTCCTACTCCTCCTCCTCCGTCTTTCATGCTCGGGCAAGCCGCTGGGCGCACAAGAGCACCCGTGAGGCCATCTCATCCTCCCCTTCCGCATCGCACTCATCCACCTCCTCCGCCTCCTTCTCCTCTTCCTCCTCCTCCTCCTCCTCCTTATCTTCCTCCTCCTCCTCCTCCTCCTCCTCCTCCTCCTCCTCCTCCTCCCCCCCTCCTGGTCCTCCTCCTCCTCCTCCTCCTCCTCCTCCTCCTCCCTCCTCCTCGTCCTCCTCCTAATCCTCCTAATATTTCTTCTCCTCCTCCTCCTCTTCCGCCTCCTCCTCCTCCTCCTCCTCCTCATCATCATCATCATCATCATAATCAGCAGCATCATCATCAGCATCATCAGCATTATTATCATCATCGTCAGCCTCATCATCCTCATCATCATCCTTCCTCATCATCATCATCATCACCATCACCATCACCATCGCCATCATCATCATCATCATCATCATCATCATCAGCAGCAGCAGCAGCAGCAGCAGCAGCATCATCATCATCCTTCTCCTCCTCCTCCTCATCGAGGAGGGCGCTCGCCGAAAGGACCGCCGGCGGGGGCTGGCGGTGCGGACACGTCGCCCGGGAGCTCTGGGCCCCCCGGGAGCAGGCACTGCAAGTGGTCGCGCTCCACCTTCGGGGTCGTCGCCGTCGTCGCAGCCGCCACCAGCCTTCTTTCTAAGGCGAGGCCGGATTGAGAGTCAATTCGGACGAGGATAAATCGGAAATCTCTGAGACCCGGAGGTTCTAGAGGATGTCTCGGGCGCCGCGGCCTTCTCAGAGCGTTCCAGAACGCTCTGAGAGCGGTCGGGAACGCTCTCGAACGGATTTATCCGCGTCCTTGCTCCGTCCGGCTTCAAGAGCGGGTCCCCGAGACAAAGGACCACAAGAAGGGGAGGCCCTGAACGATGATGCAGAGCCCACGCAGAAGCGCTTTCCAATCCTCAGGGCACCGTCCCTCGGGGTTCAAACTTCGAGCCACGACGGTGGTCCTCTTCCTCTTCCACTTCCTGTTCCTGCTCCTCCTCCTCCTTCTCGTTCCCTCCGTCCTCCTCCTCCTCCTCCTCCTCTCCCGCGCGGAACGAGGAGGGGAGGGGAGCGGAGAGTGGGAATGCCAAGATAGGTGCGCACGCGCCAAATCTGACATCCTACCCCTCTCATCCATCCCTTCCCACTGTCTTGGTTATCTCTATCAGCCGACGCATGCCTAGCGGACCTGGAACTCCAAAGAGGACCCCATCGTATTCTGCGCAATCGGGAAAAAACAGGCGCTGCATACATTAGAGGAGGAGGAGGAGGAGGAGGAGGAGGAGGAGGAGGAGGAGGAGGTGGCAGATGAGCAGGAGGTTGAGCAGGAGGAAAAGGAGGAGGAGCAGAAAGGAGGAGGACGAGGACGGACAGCAGCAGCCAGCACTGGAGTGAAAGAAACAGCAGGAGCAGGAAGACCAGGGGAATGCAGAAATTCGACAGGGGGCGGCAAGGATGAAAAATGACCCGGGTCCAGAAAAGCACAGGATTAAATGAACAAAAACGCAAGAACATGTCATGTGTGACAGCTCGCGTAAAACAACAGCACGCGGAGAGGGTCGAACATTTTCCAGAAAGAGTCAGGGGAGAGAGGAGAGATAGATTCAGAATCTGCATCTGTAGAGCACAAACAAGCGGATACCACATTCATAGCCGTTTGGGCATGTTTGGTCTTGAGCCGGCAGGGCTCATGATGCGTATGCTCTTGACTCTTGTCTTAACATCCGCCAACGTGCCTCTGGGCGCGGAGCGGGCGCGTCCTCGGGTCCTTTGCCCAATTCTCCTGAGCCTCAGTCCTCATTCCTGAGGAAGGGGGCCCGGAGCCCGAACTACCAACTCTTCTAGAAAACTTCCCGCGAGCACCCCTGGGGCTTGCCGTGGCCTGTCGCGCGACTTCTCGGGTCCAAGAGGGGCCCAGGGGGTCCCAAGAGGCCTCCAAGAGGCCTCCAAGACGGCCTCGAGTCGCGGAGAGATCGGCCCGAGACGCGGTCTCTTGGGGCATCTCCAGAAGGCCCCCAGAAGCCAAAATCATGGACAGTCCTTAGCTTTGTGATGGATTTCCGCGCTCCCGCTTTTTCGGCTTCCCGACTCTCCCAGACGGCTCTAGAGTCCTCTAAGATTGCCCCCAGACGGCCCACCAAGAGGGCCCCCAAACGGCCCAAGAGGGCCCCAAGACAGCCCAAGAGCCAAGAGGCAGCCAAAACGGCCCAAGACGGCCCAAAGGGGTCCGAAAGAGGTTACACGAACCGAAAATCGGAGCCTTCCGCCTCAAGAGCCCCCCAGCAAGCCCCAGGAGGCGCCCAGGAGGCCCCAAGATGCCCCCAAGAGGCCCCAAGAAGCCCACAAGAGACTTTTAAACAAAAAACGAAAATGGCCCCCAAACGGCTCCCAAGAGGAACCCAATCTACCTCCAAGAGGCCCCCGAGACGCTTCCCACGAGATGCCAACGAACATTCAAGTTTACGTGTTTCTTATATTTTCTGGGGTAGCGGCCGGCCCCGGTTCCGCCCCCCCTCCGCCCCCGCCGGCGGCGTCCGGGAATGTTTGCCAAGCAGGAACAGCATGCATGTGGCGATCTGCACCACAGCGCCCGTGTACACCACAGTGCTCGCATGCACCGCAGCGCGCGTGTACACCACAGCGCCTGCGTAAACCGCAACAACCGTTTTCAACGCGGCGCCTGTGTGCACCACAGCGAATCTGTACACCGCAGTAACCATGTGCAACACAGCGCCTGTGTACACCACAGTGCCTGCGTGCACCGCAGCGCCTGTGTACACCACTGCTCCTGTCCTGTAACATGCAACGCAGCGCTGGTGTACACAACACAGCAACTGCGTGCACAGGACAGGTAGAAGGAGCATGTGGGTGAGGATCTGCTGCGGAGAGCTAAACGCCACGCAAGGGAAGTGCTGATAACATTCGCCGGCCCAACGGGCCAGAGGCGTGCTAAGATCTCCGGTAACTGGTAAACAGTATTTCTAGTTCGCGCGCGCGGGGCGGCCCCTGGGGGTCCCTGGATCAAAAGTACCCCGGGCGGAGCCCGGGCGGAGCCCGGGACACTCCCCCAGATCCTCCAGGATCGCCCCAAGAGGGCCCCAAGAGGCCCCCAACACAATCCAAGAGAGGTCCGAGACGCCCGAAGATCGCTCCACGGCGCCCAAGATGGCCTCCAGACGGCCCAAGACGTCTCCAAGATGACCCAACAAGCCTCCAAGATGCCCCAAGAGACCTCCAGGAGCACTCCCAAGAGGGCCCCAAGAGGCAAAAACCAATGCTTTTTCTTAGGTTTTGGACAGCTTTGGGCGTTTCAACCTTTTCGGTTCCCCGACGCCCCTAGACGGCTCAAGAGGCCTCCAAGATCGCCCCAAGAGGGCCCAAGAGGCCCTCAAAAGGGCCCCAAGACGGCCCAAGACGGCTCCAAGACGGCCCCAGAGGCCTCCAAGACGGCCCAAGAGGGCCCCAAGAACGCCCCCAACACGGTCCAAGAGAGGTCCGAGACGCCCGAAGATCGCTCCACGACGCCCAAGATGGCCTCCGGACGGCCCAAGACGTCTCCAAGATGGCCCAAGAAGCCTCCAAGATGCCCCAAGAGGCCTCCAAGAGAACTCCCAAGAGGGCCCCAAGAGGCAAAAACCTGTGCTTTTCCTTTGGTGTTGGACAGATTTGGGCGTTTTAACCTTTTCGGTTCCCCGACGCCCCTAAACGGCTCAAGAGGCCTCCAAGATCGCCCCAAGAGGGCCCAAGAGGCCCCCAAGAGGGCCCCAAGACGGCCCAAGACGGCTCCAAGACGGCCCCAGAAGCCTCCAGGACGGCCCAAGAGGTCCCCAAGAACGCCCCCAACACTACACAGCTCCCGACGCCGCATCTCCACACTGCAAACGACCACTCGGACAGGCGACCACGGTGCGACATTATGGGCCGGCGGAGTGAGCGAAGCGATTAAATAATGCGATGTTCTGACCTCCTCCCTCCTCCTCCTCCTCATCCTCCTCCTCCTCCTCCTCCTCCTCCTCTTACTATTCCCAGCCATCCTGTGGTGTTGGGTCTTCGTTTTGAAGAGACAGCGCCCCGCGTTCTTTCCTCCTCCCGCTGCCCCCTCCCTCCTCCCTCCTCCCCATCCTTGCCTCTGCGCTCGGCACACCTCTCACGTTTCGTAGCCCGTAGCCCCATAGGGAGCTCCACCGAAGGCCCCAGTGGGGGTGGTCGCATGCGGTTCCCCCACCCAGGGCAGCGTTGCGTGTCCCCTTGGGGAGCCCCGCCGATGGCCCCAGTAGGGGTGCCCGCATGCGGTTCCCCCACCCAGGGCAGCGCTTCGTGGCCCCATAGGGAGCTCCGCCGATGGCCCCAGTGTGGGGGGTCGCACGCGGTTCCCCCACCCAGGGCAACGTTTCGTGTCCCCATAGGGAGCTCCGCCGATGGCCCCAGTGGGGGGGGTCGCAGGCGGTTCCCCCACCCACGGCAGCGCTTCGTGTCCCCATAGGGAGCTCCGCCGATGGCCCCAGTGGGGAGGGGTTCGCATGCGGTTCCCCCACCCAGGGCAACGCTTCGTGGCCCCATAGGGAGCTCCGCCGATGGCCCTGGTGGGGGGGGGGTCGCATGCGGTTCCCCCACCCAGGGCAGCGTTTCGTGTCCCCTTGGGGAGCCCGGCCGATGGCCCCAGTAGGGGTGCCCGCATGCGGTTCCCCTACCCAGGGCAGCGCTTCGTGGCCCCATAGGGAGCTCCGCCGATGGCCCCAGTGGGGGGGGTCGCACGCGGTTCCCCCACCCAGGGCAGCGTTTCGTGTCCCCATGGGGAGCTCCGCCGATGGCCCCAGTGGGGGGGGTCGCATGCGGTTCCCCCACCCAGGGCAGCGTTTCGTGTCACCATAGGGAGCTCCGCCGATGGCCCCAGTAGGGGGGTCGCATGCGGTTCCCCCACCCAGGGCAACGTTTCGTGTCCCCATAGGGAGCTCCACTGAACGCCCCAGTGGAAATGCCCGCATGCGGTTCCCCCACCCAGGGCAGCGCTTCGTGGCTCTATAGGGAGCTCCACCGATGGCCCCAGTGGCTGCTCTCGCATGCGGTTCCCCCACCCAGGGCAACGTTTCGTGTCCCCATAGGGAGCTCCACCGAAGGCCCCAGTGGGGGTGCCCGCATGCGGTTCCCCCACCCAAGCCAGCGTTTCGTGGCCCCATGGGTGGCTCCACCGTGGGCCCCAGTGGGGGTGCTCGCACGCGGTTCCCCCACCCAGGGCAGCGCTTCGTGGCCCCATAGGGAGCTCCACTTAAGGCCCCTGTGGTGGTGCCCGCAAGCTCTCCCCCACCCAGGGCAGCGCTTCGTGGCCCCATGGGGAGCTCCACCGAAGGCCCCAGTGGGGGTGTTCGCATGCGGTTCCCGCACCCAGGGCAGCGTTTCGTGGCCCTGTAGGGAACCCCACCGAATGCGTTGCTCACAAAGACGGTACTCATCACTGCATATGGTTGGATCCTCCGCCAGGCTAATCATAATTCTAAATATTGTTCTTCTATTACTCTTAGTATTCGTATTCTCGCTACTATTACTATGAGTATGACTGTTCGTCTTCTTCGTGTGATTATTATTATCATTGTTTATCCTCCTCCTCCG